TCTCGACCCCCCACCTGGCGCCAATGATAGTGGTTTCTGCAGTGGTGGTGCCAAGTGGCAGCTTGATACATTGTGCTTCCACCAGCAGATGCTATGCCAGGTGTAGACACAACTGAGGTTGTTTCAGCAGGTCTAATTTCAAATGTGGATGTTTCCAATATTACTTGCGTTGAACTAACTGAAGGTGTAGTTTTAACAGAAGTGGTGCCTAGGGTAGTCATTTCTTCAGAAGTGGTGACGGGGGTAGTACTTTCAACAGAAGCGGTTCCCAAGGTAGTAGTTTCTACAGGGTAGTGAGTGTACAAGTGGTGGTACATTCTAAGGAATCGGTATCTGACATAGGTAGTGCTTTTAACAGAAGTGGTGCCAAGGGTAGTCGTTTCTTCAGAAGTGGTGACGGGGGTAGTACTTTCTACAGAAGCGGTTCCCAAGGTAGTAGTTTCTACAGGGTAGTGAGTGTACAAGTGGTGGTACATTCTAAGGAATCGGTATCTGTCATAGTTGTTTTTATCACACAAGTGGTGCCAATGATAGTGGTGTCTGCAGTGGTGGTGCCACGTGGCAGCTTGATACGTTGTGCTTCCACTAGCAGATGCTATGCCAGGTGTAGACACAACTGAGGTTGTTGTTTCAGCAGGTCTCATTTCAAATGTGGATGTTTCCAATACTACTTGCGTTGAACTAACTGAAGGTGTAGTTTTAGCTCAGGAGGTGGCAAGGGTAGTCGTTTCTTCAGAAGTGGTGACGGGGGTAGTACTTTCTACAGAAGCGGTTCCCAAGGTCACGGGGCTATTACTATCTACAGAAGCGGTTCCCAAGGTAGTAGTTTCTACAGGGTAGTGAGTGTACAAGTGGTGGTACATTCTAAGGAATCGGTATCTGTCATAGTTGTTTTTATCACACAAGTGGTGCCAATGATAGTGGTGTCTGCAGTGGTGGTGCCAAGTGGCAGTTTGAGACGTAATGCTTCCACCAGCAGATGCTATGCCAGGTGTAGATACAACTGAGGTTGTTTCAGCAGGTCTCATTTCAAATGTGGATGTTTCCAATACTACTTGCGTTGAACTAACTGAATGTGTAGTTTCAACAGAAGCAGTGCCAACCATAGCAGTTTTTTCAGAAGTGGTGACAGGGGTAGTACTTTCTAGAGAAGTGGCACCCAGCGTAGCAGCTTCATTAGGAGTTGTGCCAAGGGTAGTAGTTTCTGCAGGAGTTGTGCCCAGGGTAGTAGATACTACATGGTAGTGTGTGTACAAGTGGTGATACATTCTAAGGAATCGGTATCTGTCATAGTTGTTTTTATCACACAAGTGGTGCCAATGATAGTGGTTTCTGCAGTTGTGGTGCCAAGTGGCAGTTTGATACGTTGTGCTTCCACCAGCAGATGCTATGCCAGGTGTAGATACAACTGAGGTTGTTGTTTCAGCAGTTCTCATTTCAAATGTGGATGTTTCCAATACTAAACCCGTTGAACTAACTGAAGCTGTAGTTTTAACAGAAGTGGTGCCAAGGGAAGTACTTTCTACAGAAGTGGTGCCCAGATTTGTAGTTTCTTCAGGAGTTGGGCCAAGGGTAGTAGTTTCTGCAGGAGTTGTGCCCAGGGTAGTAGTTTCTACAGGGTAGTGTGTGTACAAGTGGTGGTACATTCTAAGGAATCGGTATCTGTCATAATTGTTTTTTTCACACAAGTGGTGCCAATGATAGTGGTTTCTGCAATAGTTGTGCCAAGTGGCAGTTTGAGACATTGTGCTATTAACAGCAGATTTTATGCCAGGCGTAGATACAACTGAGGTTGAGGTTTCAGCAGTTCTCATTTCAAATGTGGATGTTTCCAATACTACTTGCGTTGAACTAACTGAAGATGTAGTTTCAATAGAAGCAGGTCCAAGGGTAGTAGTTTCTTTAGAAGAGGTGCCCGGAGTAGTAGTTTCTGCAGGAGTTGAGCCAAAGGTGGTAGTTTCTGCAGGAGTTGTGCCAAGTGTAGTAATTGCTACCATTGGCACCACTTCTGGAGAAGTTTCTGAAGTGATGCCGAGGGTAGTAGATTGTGAAGAGATGCCCAGAGTAATAGGTTCTGCAGAAGTGGTGAACAGGGTAGCAGTTTCAGCAGAAGTTGTGCCCAGGGTACTACTTTCTGCAGAACTGGTGCCAAGGGTAGTAGTTTCTAAAGAAGCGGTGCCAAGGGTAGTAGTTTCTAAAGAAGCGGTGCCAAGGGTAGTAATTTCTGCAGAAGCGGTGCCAAGGGTAGTAGTGTCTGCAGAAGCGGTGCCAAGGGTAGTAGTGTCTGCAGAAGTGGTGCCAAGGGTAGTAGTGTCTGCAGAAGCTGTTTCCAGGATAGTAGTTTCTAAAGAAGTGGTGCCAAGGGTGTTACTGTCTGCAGAAGTGGTGCCAATTGTAGTAGTTTTTGCAGAAGTGGTGCCCAGAGTAGTAGTTTCTACATTGTAGTGCGTGTACAAGTGGTAGTACATTCTAAGGAATCGGTATCTGTCATAGTTGTTTTTTTCACACAAGTGGTGCAAATGATTGTGGTTTCTGTAGTGGTTGTGACAAGTGGCAGTTTGAGACATTGTGCTTTCAACAGCAGATGTTATGCCAGGTGTAGTTTCAATTGAGGTTGTTGTTTCAGCAGTTGTCATTACATGTTTGGACGTTTCCAATAGTAATCCTGTTGAATTAACTGGGGATGTAATTTTTTCAGAAGTTGTGCCAAGGTTAGTAGTTTCTTCAGATGTGGTACCGAAGGTAGTAGTTTTAGCAGAAGTGGTACCAATGGTAGTAGTTTTAGCAGAAGTGGTGCCAAGGGTAGTAGTTTTTGCAGAATAGAGTCCTGCAGAAGTTGTGCCTAGGGTAGTAGTTTCTACAAAAGTGCTTCCAAGGTTACTAGTTTCTGCAGAAGTGGTGCCCAGAGTTAAAGATTCTACAGAAGTGCTGCCAAGAGTAGTAGTTTCTGCAGACGTGAGTCCTGCAGAAGTTGTGCCTAGGGTAGTAGTTTTTACAGAAGTGATACCATGAATAGTTTCTGAAAAAGTGGTGTCAAGTGTACTACTTTTTGCGGATGTTGTGCCCAGGGCAGTAGTTTCAGCAGTAGTGGGTCCTACAGAAGTGGTGCCAAGGACAGTAGATTCTACAGAAGTGGTGCCAAGGACAGTAGATTCTACAGAAGTGGTGCCAAGAGTAGAATTTTCTGCAAAACTGGGATCTGCAGAAGTGGTTTCAAGACCAGTAGTTTCTAAAGAAGTGGTGCCAAGGGTACTACTGTCTGCAGAAGTGGTGCCAAAGATAGTAGTTTCTGCAGAAGTGGTGCCAAGGGTACTAGTTTCTGCAGAAGTGGTTCCAAGGATAGTAGTTTCTGCAGAAGTGGTGCCAAGGGTACTAGTTTCTGCAGAAGTGGTGCCAAGGGTACTAGTTTCTGCAGAAGTGGTGCCAAGGGTACTAGTTTCTGCAGAAGTGGTGCCAAGGGTACTAGTTTCTGCAGAAGTGGTGCCAAGGGTACTAGTTTCTGCAGAAATTGGTATTGCAGAAGGGGTTTCCAGGGAAGTAGTTTCTGCAGAAGTGGTACCCAGAGTGGAAGATTCTGCAGAAGTAGCACCAAGGGTAGTAGTTTCTACAGAAATGTTTCCAAGGGTAGTCATTTCTACAGAAGTGGTGCCAAAGATAGTAGATTCAGCAAAAGTGGTGCCAAAGATAGTAGATTCAGCAAAAGTGGTGCCCAGGATAGTAGATTTTACAGAAGTAGCTTCAAAGGTACTAGTTTCTGCAGAAGTGGTGCCGAGAGTTGTAGATTCTACAGTAGTAATTCCAAGCGTAGTAGTTTCTGCAGAAGAGGGTGCTGCAGAAGAGGTGCCCAGGGTGGCAGTCTCTGCAGCAGTGGTGCCCAGGGTGGCAGTCTCTGCAGCAGTGGTGCCCAGGGTGGCAGTCTCTGCAGCAGTGGTGCCCAGGGTGGCAGTCTCTGCAGCAGTGGTGCCCAGGGTGGCAGTCTCTGCAGCAGTGGTGCCCAGGGTAGTAGATTCTGCAGAAGTTGTGCTCACTGTAGTAGTCTCTGCAGAAATGGTGCCAAGGGTAGTAGATTCTGCAGAAGTTGTGCTCACTCTAGTAGTCTCTGCAGAAGTTGAGCCAAGGGTAGTAGTCTCTGCAGAAGTGGAACCAAGGGTATTACTTTCAGCAGAAGTGGGTCCTGCATGTATGGTTTCCAGGATAGTAGATTCAACAGAAGTGGCTTCAAGGACAGTAGTTTCTACAGAAGTGATGCCAAGGGCAGTGGTTTCTGCAGCAGTCGGTACTGCAGAAGTGGTTTCCAAGGTTGTAGTTGCTACAGAAGTGGTGCCCAGGGTAGTAGTTTCTACAGAAGTGGTGCCCAGGGTAGTAGTTTCTACAGAAGTGGTGCCCAGGGTAGTAGTTTCTACAGAAGTGGTGCCCAGGATAGTAGTTTCTAAAGAAGTGATGCCAAGGACAGTGGTTTCTGCAGCAGTCGGTACTGCAGAAGTGGTGCCCAGGGTAGTAGTTTCTACAGAAGTGGTGCACAGGGTAGTAGTTTCTACAGAAGTGGTGCCCAGGGTAGTAGTTTCTATAGAAGTGGTGCCCAGGGTAGTAGTTTCTGTAGAAGTGGTGCTCACGGTAGTAGTCTCTGCAGAAGTGTTTTCCAGGGTAATACTTTCTACAAAAGCGGTGCCAAGGGTATTAGTTTCAGCAGATGTGGTGCCCAGAGTTGTAGATTCAAAAGAAGTGGTACCAAGAGAAGTAGTTTCTGCAAATGTGGGTTCTGCAGAAGTGGTTTCTAGGGTAGTAGTTTCTGCTGAGTTTGTGCCCAGTGTGGTAGATTGAACAAAAGTGGTGCCAAGGGTAGTGGTTTCTGCAGAAGTGGGTCCTGCAGAAGTGGTTCCCATTGTAGTACTTTCTACAGAAGTGGTGCCAAGGGTACTAGTTTCAGCAGAAGTGGTGTCCAGAGTGGTAGATTCAATAGAAGTGGCAAAAGGCGTAGTAGTTTCTGCAGAATTGGGTCCTGCATATGTGGTTTCCAGGATAGTAGTGTCTAAAGAAGTCTTGCCAAGGTTAGTAGTTTCTGCAGAAGTGGGCATTGCAGAAGTGGTTTCCAGGGTAGTAGTTTCTACAAAAGTGGTGACAAGGGTAGTAGTTTCTGCAGAAGTGGATTCTAAGGTAGTAGTTTCTGCAGAAGTGGATTCTAAGGTAGTAGTTTCAGCAGAAGTGGGTGATGCAGATGTGGTTTCCAGAGTTGTAGTTTCTATAGAAGTTGTGCCCAGGGTAGTGGTTTCTGCAGAAGAGGATTCTAAGGTAGCCGTTTCTGCAGAAGTGGATCCAAGGGTACTAGTTTCTGCAGAAGTGGGTCCTGCAGAAGTGGTGCCAAGGGTAAAAGATGTTGCAGAAGTGGTGCCCAGAGACGTAGGTTTAACTGAAGCAGAGCCAAGGGTAGTCGTCTCTGCAGAAGTGGTGCCAAGGGTAGTCGTCTCTGCAGAAGTGGTGCCAAGGGCAGTCTCTGCAGAAGTGGATCCTGCATATGTGGTTTCCAGGACAGTAGCGGTGCCAAGGTTAGTGGTTTCTGCAGAAATGGGTACTGCAGAAGTGGTTTTCAGGGTGGTAGTTTCCACAAAAGTGGTGCCAAGGGTAGTAGTTTCTACAGAAGTGGTGCCAAGGGTAGCAGTTTCTACAGAAGTGGTGCCACGGGTAGCAGTTTCTACAGAAGTGGGTCCTGCAGAAGTGGTGCCAAGGGTACTAGTTTCTGCAGAAGTGGTGCTATAGGTAGCAGATTCTGCAGAAGCGGTGCCAGAGGTACTGGTTTCTGCAGAAGGGGTGCCAAGGGTAGTACTCTCTGCAGAAGTGGTGCCCAAATTGGTTGATTCTACAGAAGTGGTGCCAAGGGTAGTAGTTTCTGCAGAAGTGGGTTCTGCATATGTGGTTTCCAGGACAGTAGCTTCTACAGAAGAGGTGCCAAGGTTAGTGGTTTCTGCAGAAGTGGTTTTCAGGGTGGTAGTTTCTACAAAAGTGGTGCCAAGGGTAGCAGATTCTGCAGAAGTGGTGCCATGAGATATTGGTTTAACAGAAGTGGTGCCAGGGTTACTGGTTTCTGCAGAAGTGGTGCCAAGGGTAGTAGTTTCTGGAGAAGCTGTTCCAAGGGTAGTAGTTTCAGCAGTAGTGGGTGTTGCAAAAGTGGTGCCAGAGGTACTGGTTTCTGCAGAAGCTGTTCCAAGGGTAGTCGTCTCTGCAGAAGTGGTGCCAAAGGTAGTAGTTTCTACAAAAGAGGGTTCAAGTGTAGTAGATTCTGCAGAAGTTGTGCTCACGGTAGTAGTCTCTGCAGAGGTGGTTTCTAGGGTAATACGTTCCACAAAAGCAGTGCCAAGGGTACTAGTTTCTGCAGAAGAGGTGCCAAGGGTACTAGTTTCTGCAGAAGGGGTTTTCAGGGTAGTAGTTTCTACAAAAGTGATGCCAAGAGTACTAGTTTCTGCAGAAGTGGGTCTTGCATATGTGGTTTCCAGGACAGTAGCTTCTACAGAAGTGGTGCCAAGGTTAGTGATTTCTGCAGAAGTGGTGCCATTGGTACTAGTTTCTACAGAAGTGGTGCCATTGGTACTAGTTTCTACAGAAGTGGTTTTCAGAGTAGTAGTTTCTACAGAAGTGGTGCCAAGGGTACTAGTTTCTACAGAAGTGGTGCCATTGGTACTAGTTTCTACAGAAGTGGTTTTCAGAGTAGTAGTTTCTACAGAAGTGGTGCCAAGGGTACTAGTTTCTACAGAAGTGGTGCCATTGGTACTAGTTTCTACAGAAGTGGTACCAAGGGTACTAGTTTCTACAGAAGTGCTTTCCAAGGTAGAAATTTTTACAGAAGTGGTGCCAAAGGTAGTAGTTTCTACAGAAGTAGGTGCTGCAGATGTGGTTTCCAGGGTTGTAGTTTCTATAGAAGTTGTGTCCAGGGTAGTTTCAACAGAAGCTGTTCCAAGGGTAGTATTTTCTGCAGAAGTGGGTCCTGCAGAAATGGTGCCAGAGGTACTAGATTCTGCAGAAGTGGTTTCCAGGGTTGTAGTTTCTATCGAAGTAGTGCCAATGGTAGTGGTTTCTGCAGAAGTGGTTTCCAGGGTAGTAGTTTCTACAGAAGTGGGTCCTGCAGAAGTTGTTTCAAGGGTTGTAGCTTCTATAGAAGTAGTGCCAATGGTAGTAGTTTCTACAAAAGTGGTGCCAAGTGTAGTAGTTTCTGCAGAAGTAGGTCCTGTAGAAGTGGTTCCAAGGGTACTATTGTCTGCAGAAGTTGTCCCCAGGGTAATAGTTTCTGCAGAAGTGGTTCCAAGAGTACTAGTTTCTTCAGAAGCTGGTCCTGCAGAAGTGGTTTCCAGGGTAGTAGTTTCTACAGAAGTGGGTCCTGCAGAGGTGGTTCCAAGGGTACTAGTGTCTGCAGAAGTTGTCCCTTGGGTAATAATTTCTGCAGAAGTGGTTCCAAGGGTACTAGTTTCTTCAGATGCTGGTCCTGCAGAAGTGGTGCCAAGGGTACTAGTTTCTGCAGAATTGGTGCTATAGGTAGCAGATTCTGCAGAAGCGGTGCCATTAGATATTGGTTTAACAGAAGTAGAGTCAAAGGTAGTAGTCTCTACAGAAGTGGTGCCAGAGGTACTGGTTTCTGCGGAAGTGGTGCCAAAGGTAGTAGTCTCTGCAGAAGTAGTTCCCAGAGTGGTAGATTCTACAGAAGTAGTGCCAAGGGTAGTAGTCTCTGCAGAAGTGGCAGTGCCAAGGGTAGTAGTCTCTGCAGAAGTGGCAGTGCCAAAGGTAGTAGTCTCTGCAGAAGTGGCAGTGCCAAGGGTAGTAGTCTCTGCAGAAGTGGCAGTGCCAAAGGTAGTAGTCTCTGCAGAAGTGGCAGTGCCAAGGGTAGTAGTCTCTGCAGAAGTGGCAGTGCCAAGGGTAGTAGTCTCTGCAGAAGTGGCAGTGCCAAGGGTAGTAGTCTCTGCAGAAGTGGTGCCAAGGGTAGTAGTCTCTGCAGAAGTGGTGCCAAGGGTAGTAGTCTCTTCAGAAGTGGTTCCAAGGGTACTAGTTTCTGCAGAAGTGGGTCTTGCATATGTGGTTTCCAGGACAGTAGCTTCTACAAAAGTGGTGCCAAGGTTAGTGGTCTCTGCAGAAGTGGTTTTCAGGGTAGTAGTTTCTACAAAAGTGGGTCTTACAGAAGTGGGTCCTGCAGAAGATGTTTCAATGGTTGTAGTTTCTATAGAAGTAGTGCCAATGGTAGTAGTTTCTACAAAAGTGGTGCCAAGGCTAATAGTTTCTGCAGAAGTAGGTCCTGTAGAAGTGGTTCCAAGGGTACTAGTGTCTGCAGAAGTGTTTCCAAGGGTACTAGTTTCTTCAGAAGCTGGTCCTGCAGAAGTGGTTTCCAGGGTAGTAGTTTCTATAGAAGTGGGTCCTAAAGAAGTGGTGCCAAGGGTAGTAGTCTCTTCAGAAGTGGTGCAAAGGGTAGTATTTTCTGCAGAAGTGGGTCTTGCATATGTGGTTTTCAGGACAGTAGCTTCTACAGAAGTGGTTTTCAGGGTAATGGTTTCTACAAAAGTGGTGCCAAGGGTACTAGTTTCTACAGAAGTGGTGCCAAGGGTAGTAGTTTCTGCAGAAGTGGGTCCTGCAGAAGTGGTGCCAAGGGTAGTAGTCTCTGCAGACGTGGTGCCATAGGCAATAGTTTCTGCATAAGTTGCGCCCAGGGTACTAGTTTCTACAGAAGTGGAGCTAAGGGTAGTAGTTTCAGCAGAAGTGGATGCTGCAAAAGTGGTTTCCAGGGTTGTAGTTTCGATAGAAGATGTGTCCAGAGTAGTCGTTTCTGCAGAAGTGGGTGCTGCAAAAGTGGTTTCCAGGCTAGAACTTTCTAAAGAAGTGGTACCAAGGGTACTAGATTCTGCATTAGTGGTTCCCAGAGTGGTAGATTCAACAGAAGTGGTGCCAGAGATACTAGATACTGCATTAGTGGTGCCCAGAATGGTAGATTCAACAGAAGTGGTGCCAGAGGTACTAGTTTCTTCAGAAGCTGGTCCTGCAGAAGTGGTTTCCAGGGTAGTAGTTTCTACAGAAGTGGTTCCAAGGGTACTAGTGTCTGCAGAAGTTGTCCCTAGGTTAATAATTTCTGCAGAAGTGGTTCCAAGGGTACTAGTTTCTTCAGAAGCTGGTCCTGCAGAATTGGTGCTATAGATAGCAGATTCTGCAGAAGCGGTGCCATGAGATATTGGTTTAACAAAAGTAGAGCCAAGGGTAGTAGTCTCTACAGAAGTGGTGCCAGAGGTACTGGTTTCTGCGGAAGTGGTGCCAAGGGTAGTAGTCTCTGCAGAAGTGGCAGTGCCAAGGGTAGTAGTCTCTACAGAAGTGGTGCCAGAGGTACTGGTTTCTGCGGAAGTGGTGCCAAGGGTAGTAGTCTCTGCAGAAGTGGCAGTGCCAAGGGTAGTAGTCTCTACAGAAGTGGTGCCAGAGGTACTGGTTTCTGCGGAAGTGGTGCCAAGGGTAGTAGTCTCTGCAGAAGTAGTTCCCAGAGTGGTAGATTCTACAGAAGTGGTGCCAAGGGTAGTAGTCTCCGCAGAAGTGGTGCCAAGGGTAGTAGTCTCTGCAGAAGAGGTGCCACGGGTAGTAGTCTCCGCAGAAGAGGTGCCAAGGGTAGTAGTCTCTGCAGAAGTGGTGCCATAAGTAATAGTTTCTGCATAAGTTGCACCCAGGGTACTAGTTTCTACAGAAGTGGAGCTAAGGGTAGTAGTTTCAGCAGAAGTGGGTGCTGCAAAAGTGGCTTCCAGGCTAGAACTTTCTAAAGAAGTGGCACCAAGGGTACTAGATTCTGCATTAGTGGTGCCCAGAATGGTAGATTCAACAGAAGTGGTGCCAGAGGTACTAGATTCTGCAGAAGTGGTTTCCAGGGTTGTAGTTTCTATAGAAGTAGGTCCTGTAGAAGTGGTTCCAAGGGTACTAGTGTCTGCAGAAGGGGTTCCAAGGGTACTAGTTTCTTCAGAAGCTGGTCCTGCAGAAGTGGTTTCCAGGTTAGTAGTTTCTATAAAAGTGGGTCCTGCAGAAGTTGTCCCCAGGGTAATAGTTTCTGCAGAAGTGGTTTCAGGGGTACTAGTTTCTGCAGAAGTTGGGCCCAGGGTAGTAGTCTCTGCAGAAGTGGTGCTAGAGATACTAGTTTCTGCATAAGTGGAGCTAAGGGTAGTAGTTTCTTTATAAGCTGTTCCAAGGGTAGTAGTGTCAGCAGTAGTGGGTGCTGCAAAAGTGGTTTCCAGGGTAGTATTTTCTAAAGAAGTGGTGCCAAGGGTAGTAGTCTCTGCAGAAGTGGTGCCACGGGTAGTAGTCTCTGCAGAAGTGGTTTTCAGGGTAGTAGTTTCCACAAAAGTGATGCCAAGAGTACTAGTTTCTGTAGAAGTGGGTCTTGCATATGTGGTTTCCAGGATAGTAGCTTCTACAGAAGTGGTGCCAAGGTTCGTGGTTTCTGCAGAAGTGGGTACTGCAGAAGTGGTTTTCAGGATAGTAGTTTCTACAGAAGTAGTGCCAAGAGCACTAGTTTCTACAGAAGTGCTTTCCAGGGTAGTAGTTTTTACAGAAGTTGTGCCAAGGGTAGTTTCTGCAAAAGTGGGTCCTGCAGAAATGGTGCCCAGAGTGGTAGATTCAACAGAAGTGGTGCCAGAGGTACTAGATTCTGCAGAAGTGGTTTCCAGGGTAGTAGTTTCTACAGAAGTGGGTCCTACAGAAGTGAGTCCTGCAGAAGTTGTTTCAAGGGTTGTAGTTTCTATAGAAGTAGTGCCAATGGTAGTAGATTCTACAAAAGTGGTGCCAAGGGTAGTAGTTTCTGCTGAAGTGGTTTCCAGGGTAGTAGTTTCTATAGAAGTGGGTCCTACAGAAGTGAGTCCTGCAGAAGTTGTTTCAAGGGTTGTAGTTTCTATAGAAGTAGTGCCAATGGTAGTAGATTCTACAAAAGTGGTGCCAAGGGTAGTAGTTTCTGCAGAAGTGGGTCCTGCAGAAATGGTGCCCAGAGTGGTAGATTCAACAGAAGTGGTGCCAGAGGTACTAGATTCTGCAGAAGTGGTTTCCAGGGTTGTAGTTTCTATTGAAGTAATGCCAATGGTAGTAGTTTCTGCAGAAGGGGTTCCAAGGGTACTAGTTTCTTCAGAAGCTGGTCCTGCAGAAGTGGTTTCCAGGGTAGTAGTTTCTACAGAAGTGGGTCCTGCAGAAGTGGTTTCCAGAGTTGTAGTTTCTACAGAAGTGGGTCCTGCAGAAGTGGTAGATTCTACAGAAGTGGTGCCAAAGGTACTAGTCTCTGCAGAAGTGGTGCCAAGGGTACTAGTCTCTGCAGAAGTGGTGCCAAGGGTACTAGTTTCTGCAGAAGCGGGTCTTGCATATGTGGTTTCCAGGACAGTAGCTTCTACAGAAGTGGTGCCAAGGTTAGTGGTTTCTGCAGAAGTGGGTACTGCAGAAGTGGTTTTCAGGGTAGTAGTTTCTACAGAAGATGTGTCCAGAGTAGTCGTTTCTGCAGAAGTGGGTGCTGCAAAAGTGGTTTCCAGGCTAGAACTTTCTAAAGAAGTGGTACCAAGGGTACTAGATTCTGCATTAGTGGTTCCCAGAGTGGTAGATTCAACAGAAGTGGTGCCAGAGATACTAGATTCTGCATTAGTGGTGCCCAGAATGGTAGAGTCAACAGAAGTGGTGCCAGAGGTACTAGATTCTGCAGAAGTGGGTGCTGCAGAAGTGGTTTTCAGGGTTGTAGTTTCTATAGAAGTAGTCCCAATGGTAGTAGTTTCAGCAGAAGTGGTGCCAAGGGTAGTGGTTTCTGCAGAAGTGGTTCCAAGGGTACTCGTTTCTTCAGAAACTGATCCTGCAGAAGTGGTTTCCAGGGTAGTAGTTTCTACAGAAGTGGGTGCTGCAGAAGTGGTTTTCAGGGTTGTAGTTTCTATAGAAGTAGTGCCAATGGTAGTAGTTTCTGCAGAAGTGGTGCCAAGGGTAGTGGTTTCTGCAGAAGTGGTTTCTAAGGTAGCAGTTTCTGCAGTAGTGGTTCCAATGGTAGTAGTTTCTGCAGAAGTAGGTCCTGTAGAAGTGGTTCCAAGGGTACTAGTTTCTTCAGAAGCTGGTCCTGCAGAAGTGGTTTCCAGGGTTGTAGTTTCTATAGAAGTAGTGCCAATGGTAGTAGTTTCTGCAGAAGTGGGTCCTGCAGAAGTGGTTTCAGGGGTACTAGTTTCTACAGAAGTGGTGCCAAGGGTAGTAGTTTCTGCAGAAGTGGGTCCTACAAAACGGGTTTCAAGTGTCATTGTTTCTTCAGAAGTGGTGCCAAAGGTACTAGATTCTGCAAAAGTTGTACCTAGGCTAGTAGTTTCTGTAGAAGGGGATTCTGCCAAAGTGGATTCCAGGTTAGTATTTTCTACAAAAGGTGTGCCAAGGGTACTAGTTTCTGCATTAGTTATGACCAAGCTAGACGTTTCTACAGAAGTGGTTCCAAGAGCAGTTGTTTCTGCAGAAGTGGTGCCAATGATGGTAGATTCTGCAGAAGTAATTTCCAGGGTAGTAGTTTCTCTGGAAATGGTTCCAAGAGTACTGGTTTCTGCAGAAGTTATGCCTAGGGTAATAGTTTCCACAGAAGTGGGTCCTGCAGAAGTGGTTTCAAGGGTAGTAGCTTCTGTAGAAGAGGGTGCTGCAGCAGTGGTTTCAAAGAAAATAGTTTCTACAGAAACCGCTCCAAGGGTAGAAATGTCTGCAGAAGTAGTTTCAGGAGCAGTAGTTTCTACAGAAGTGGTGCCAAGGGTAGTGGTTTCTGCAGAAGTGGTTTCCAGGATAGTTTCTGCAGAAGTGATGCCCAGAGTGGTAGCTCCTGCAGAAGTTGTCCCCAGGGTAGTAATTTCTACAAAAGTGGAACCAAGGGTACTAGATTCTGCAGAAGTGGTGCCAGGAGTAGTACTTTCTACAGAAGTGTTGCCAAATGTACTAGTTCCTGTAGAAGTGGTGCCCACAGTAATAGTTTCTACAGAAGTGGTGCCAAGGGTAGTAGCTTTTGCAGAAATTGTGCCCAGGGTAGTAATTTCTACGTAAGTGGCACCAAAGATAGTGGTTTCTGCAAAAGTGGTTTCCACGGTAGTAGTTTCTACAGAAGTAGTGACAAAGGTAGTAGCTTCTGCAGAAATGGTGCCAAGGGTAGAAGTTACTGCAGAAGTGGGTTCTGTAGAAGTGATGGCCAAAGTGGTAGATTCTACAGAAGTGGTACCAAGAGGAGTAGTTTTTGCAAATGTGGGTCCTGCAGAAGTGGTGCCAAGGGTAGAAGTTACTGCAGAAGTGGGTTCTGTATAAGTGATGGCCAAAGTGGTAGATTCTACAGAAGTGGTACCAAGAGGAGTAGTTTTTGCAAATGTGGGTCCTGCAGAAGTGGTGCCAAGGGTAGTGGTTTCTGCAGAAGTGGGTCCTGCAGATGTGGTTTTCAGGGTAATATTTTCTACAGAAGTTGGTCCTGTAGAAGTGGGGCCCAGATTGGTAGATTCTATAGAAGTGGTGCCAAATGTACTAGCTTCTGCAGAAGTGGTTCCCAGTGTAGTATTTTCTACAGAAGACGTGTCAAGGGTAGTAGTTTCTGCAGAAGTGGGTCCTGCATATGAGGTTTCCAGGATAGCACTTTCTACAGAAGTGATGCCAAGGGTAGTAGTTTCTGCAGAAGTGGGTCCTGCAGATGTGGTTTCCAGGATAGTAGTTTCTACAGGGTAGATTCTACAGAAGTGGTACCAAGAGGAGTAGTTTTTGCAAATGTGGGTCCTGCAGAAGTGGTGCCAAGGGTAGTGGTTTCTGCAGAAGTGGGTCCTGCAGATGTGGTTTTCAGGGTAATATTTTCTACAGAAGTTGGTCCTGTAGAAGTGGGGCCCAGATTGGTAGATTCTATAGAAGTGGTGCCAAATGTACTAGCTTCTGCAGAAGTGGTTCCCAGTGTAGTATTTTCTACAGAAGACGTGTCAAGGGTAGTAGTTTCTGCAGAAGTGGGTCCTGCATATGAGGTTTCCAGGATAGCACTTTCTACAGAAGTGATGCCAAGGGTAGTAGTTTCTGCAGAAGTGGGTCCTGCAGATGTGGTTTGCAGGATAGTAGTTTCTACAGAAGTGGGGGCAAGGGTAGTAGTTTCTGCAGAAGTGGGTCCTGCATATGAGGTTTCCAGGATAGCACTTTCTACAGAAGTGATGCCAAGGGTAGCAGCTTCTGCAGAAGTGGGTCCTGCATATGAGGTTTCCAGGATAGCACTTTCTACAGAAGTGATGCCAAGGGTAGCAGCTTCTGCAGAAGTGGGTCCTGCAGATGTGGTTTCCAGGATAGTAGTTTCTACAGAAGCGGTGGCAAGGTTAGTAGTTTCTTCAGAAGTGGGTCCTGCAGATAAGGTTTCCAGGATAGTAGTTTCTACAGAAGTTGTGGCAAGGGTAGTAGTTTCTGCAGAAGTGGGTCCTGCAGATGTGGTTTCCAGGATAGTAATTTTTGCAGAAGTGGGTCCTGCAGATGTGGTTTTCAGGATAGTCGTTTCTACAGACGTGGTGCCAAGGGTAGTAGTTTCTGCAGAAGTGGGTCCTGCAGATGTGGTTTCCAGGATAGTAGTTTTTGCAGAAGTGGTGGCAAGGTTAGTCGTTTCTGCAAAAGTGGGTCCTGCAGATGTGGTTTCCAGGATAGTAGTTTTTGCAGAAGTGGGTCCTGCAGAAGTGGTTTCCAGGGTAGTATTTTCTACAGAAGTGGGTCCTGCAGATGTGGTTTCCAGGATAGTAGTTTTTGCAGAAGTGGGTCCTGCAGAAGTGGTTTCCAGGGTAGTATTTTCTACAGAAGTGGGTCCTGCAGATGTGATTTCTAGGATAGTAGTTTCTACAGAAGTGGTGACAAGGGTAGTATTTTCTGCAGAAGTGGTTTCCAGGGTAGCAGTTTCTTCAGAAGTGGGTCCTGCATATGTGGTTTCCAGGATAGTAGTTTCTACAGAAGTGGTGCCAAGGGTACGAGTCTCCGCAGAAGTGGTGCCAAGGGGACGAGTCTCTGCAGAAGTGGCGCCAAGGGTACGAGTCTCCGCAGAAGTGGTGCCAAGGGGACGAGTCTCTGCAGAAGTGGCGCCAAGGGTACGAGTCTCCGCAGAAGTGGTGCCAAGGGGACGAGTCTCTGCAGAAGTGGCGCCAAGGGTACGAGTCTCCGCAGAAGTGGTGCCAAGGGGACGAGTCTCTGCAGAAGTGGCGCCAAGGGTACGAGTCTCCGCAGAAGTGGTGCCAAGGGGACGAGTCTCTGCAGAAGTGGCGCCAAGGGTACGAGTCTCCGCAGAAGTGGTGCCAAGGGGACGAGTCTCTGCAGAAGTGGCGCCAAGGGTACGAGTCTCCGCAGAAGTGGTGCCAAGGGGACGAGTCTCTGCAGAAGTGGCGCCAAGGGTACGAGTCTCCGCAGAAGTGGTGCCAAGGGGACGAGTCTCTGCAGAAGTGGCGCCAAGGGTACGAGTCTCCGCAGAAGTGGTGCCAAGGGGACGAGTCTCTGCAGAAGTGGCGCCAAGGGTACGAGTCTCCGCAGAAGTGGTGCCAAGGGGACGAGTCTCTGCAGAAGTGGCGCCAAGGGTACGAGTCTCCGCAGAAGTGGTGCCAAGGGGACGAGTCTCTGCAGAAGTGGCGCCAAGGGTACGAGTCTCCGCAGAAGTGGTGCCAAGGGGACGAGTCTCTGCAGAAGTGGCGCCAAGGGTACGAGTCTCCGCAGAAGTGGTGCCAAGGGGACGAGTCTCTGCAGAAGTGGCGCCAAGGGTACGAGTCTCCGCAGAAGTGGTGCCAAGGGGACGAGTCTCTGCAGAAGTGGCGCCAAGGGTACGAGTCTCCGCAGAAGTGGTGCCAAGGGGACGAGTCTCTGCAGAAGTGGCGCCAAGGGTACGAGTCTCCGCAGAAGTGGTGCCAAGGGGACGAGTCTCTGCAGAAGTGGCGCCAAGGGTACGAGTCTCCGCAGAAGTGGTGCCAAGGGGACGAGTCTCTGCAGAAGTGGCGCCAAGGGTACGAGTCTCCGCAGAAGTGGTGCCAAGGGGACGAGTCTCTGCAGAAGTGGCGCCAAGGGTACGAGTCTCCGCAGAAGTGGTGCCAAGGGGACGAGTCTCTGCAGAAGTGGCGCCAAGGGTACGAGTCTCCGCAGAAGTGGTGCCAAGGGGACGAGTCTCTGCAGAAGTGGCGCCAAGGGTACGAGTCTCCGCAGAAGTGGTGCCAAGGGGACGAGTCTCTGCAGAAGTGGCGCCAAGGGTACGAGTCTCCGCAGAAGTGGTGCCAAGGGGACGAGTCTCTGCAGAAGTGGCGCCAAGGGTACGAGTCTCCGCAGAAGTGGTGCCAAGGGGACGAGTCTCTGCAGAAGTGGCGCCAAGGGTACGAGTCTCCGCAGAAGTGGTGCCAAGGGGACGAGTCTCTGCAGAAGTGGCGCCAAGGGTACGAGTCTCCGCAGAAGTGGTGCCAAGGGGACGAGTCTCTGCAGAAGTGGCGCCAAGGGTACGAGTCTCCGCAGAAGTGGTGCCAAGGGGACGAGTCTCTGCAGAAGTGGCGCCAAGGGTACGAGTCTCCGCAGAAGTGGTGCCAAGGGGACGAGTCTCTGCAGAAGTGGCGCCAAGGGTACGAGTCTCCGCAGAAGTGGTGCCAAGGGGACGAGTCTCTGCAGAAGTGGCGCCAAGGGTACGAGTCTCCGCAGAAGTGGTGCCAAGGGGACGAGTCTCTGCAGAAGTGGCGCCAAGGGTACGAGTCTCCGCAGAAGTGGTGCCAAGGGGACGAGTCTCTGCAGAAGTGGCGCCAAGGGTACGAGTCTCCGCAGAAGTGGTGCCAAGGGGACGAGTCTCTGCAGAAGTGGCGCCAAGGGTACGAGTCTCCGCAGAAGTGGTGCCAAGGGGACGAGTCTCTGCAGAAGTGGCGCCAAGGGTACGAGTCTCCGCAGAAGTGGTGCCAAGGGGACGAGTCTCTGCAGAAGTGGCGCCAAGGGTACGAGTCTCCGCAGAAGTGGTGCCAAGGGGACGAGTCTCTGCAGAAGTGGCGCCAAGGGTACGAGTCTCCGCAGAAGTGGTGCCAAGGGGACGAGTCTCTGCAGAAGTGGTGCCAAGGGTACGAGTCTCTGCAGAAGTGGCGCCTAGGATAGTAGTCTCTGCAGAAGTTGTGCCCAGGGTACTAGTTTCTGCAGAATTGGGTGCTGTAGATGTGGTTTCCAGGGTTGTCATCTGTACAGAAGTTGTGTCCAGGGTAGTCATTTCTGCAGAAGTGGGTGCTGCAAAAGTGGTTTCCAGGGTTGTAGATTCTACAGAAGTGGGTGCTGCAGAAGTGGTTTCCAGGGTTTTAGTTTCGATTGGAGTAGTGCCCATGGTACTAGTTTCTATTGGAGTAGTGCCCATGGTACTAGTTTCTATTGGAGTAGTGCCCATGGTACTAGTTTCAGCAGAAGTAGTTTCCAGGGTAGTAGTTTCTACAGAAGTGAGTGCTGCAGAAGTGGTTTCCAAAGTTTTAGGTCAAGGGCAGTAGTTTCTACAAAAGTGATGCCAAGGGTAGTAGTTTCTACAGAAGGGGTCTCAAGGGCAGCAATTTCTGCATAAGTGGGTCCTGCAAAAGTGGTGCCAAGGGTAGCCGTCTCTGCAGAAGTGGTGCCAAGGGTAGCCGTCTCTGCAGAAGTGGAGCCAAGGGTAGCGGTCTCTGCAGAAGCGGGAGGGTAGCCGTCTCTGCAGAAGTGGTGCCAAGGGTAGCCGTCTCTGCAGAAGTGGTGCCAAGGGTAGCCGTCTCTGCAGAAGTGGTGCCAAGGGTAGCCGTCTCTGCAGAAGTGGTGCCAAGGGTAGCCGTCTCTGCAGAAGTGGTGCCAAGGGTAGCCGTCTCTGCAGAAGTGGTGCCAAGGGTAGCCGTCTCTGCAGAAGTGGTGCCAAGGGTAGCCGTCTCTGCAGAAGTGGTGCCAAGGGTAGCCGTCTCTGCAGAAGTGGTGCCAAGGGTAGCCGTCTCTGCAGAAGTGGTGCCAAGGGTAGCCGTCTCTGCAGAAGTGGTGCCAAGGGTAGCCGTCTCTGCAGAAGTGGTGCCAAGGGTAGCCGTCTCTGCAGAAGTGGTGCCAAGGGTAGCCGTCTCTGCAGAAGTGGTGCCAAGGGTAGCCGTCTCTGCAGAAGTGGTGCCAAGGGTAGCCGTCTCTGCAGAAGTGGTGCCAAGGGTAGCCGTCTCTGCAGAAGTGGTGCCAAGGGTAGCCGTCTCTGCAGAAGTGGTGCCAAGGGTAGCCGTCTCTGCAGAAGTGGTGCCAAGGGTAGCCGTCTCTGCAGAAGTGGTGCCAAGGGTAGCCGTCTCTGCAGAAGTGGTGCCAAGGGTAGCCGTCTCTGCAGAAGTGGTGCCAAGGGTAGCCGTCTCTGCAGAAGTGGTGCCAAGGGTAGCCGTCTCTGCAGAAGTGGTGCCAAGGGTAGCCGTCTCTGCAGAAGTGGTGCCAAGGGTAGCCGTCTCTGCAGAAGTGGTGCCAAGGGTAGCCGTCTCTGCAGAAGTGGTGCCAAGGGTAGCCGTCTCTGCAGAAGTGGTGCCAAGGGTAGCCGTCTCTGCAGAAGTGGTGCCAAGGGTAGCCGTCTCTGCAGAAGTGGTGCCAAGGGTAGCCGTCTCTGCAGAAGTGGGTACTGCAGAAGTGGTTTCCAGGGTAAAAGCTTCTTCAAAATTGGTGCCAAGGGTACTAGATTCTGCAAAAGTGGTTTCCAGGGTTTTAGTTTCTATAGTTGTGCCCATGGTACTAGTTTCTGCAGAAGTGGTGCTAAGGGTAGTGCTTTCTTCAGAAGTGGTTTCAGGGGCAGTAGTTTCTACAGAAGTGGTGGCAAGGAAAGTAGTTTCTGCATAAGTGTGTCCTGTAGAAGTGGTTTGCAGAGTAGTAGTTTCTACAGAAGTGGTTCCTAGTGTAGAACTTTCTACAGAAGAGGTGTCAAGGGTAATAGTTTCTGCAGTAGTTGTGCCCAGGGTAGTAGTTTCTGTAGAAGTGGGTCCAGCAGAAGTGGTTTCCAGAGTAGAAGTTTCTACAAAAGTGGTGCCAAGGGTAGTAGTTTCTGCAGAAGTGGTTTCCAGGGTTGTAGTTTCTATAGAAGTTGTACCCATGGTTCTAGTTTCTACAAAAGTTGGGGCAAGGGTAGTAATTTCTGCAAAAGTGGTGCCAATGGTAATAGTTTCTGCAGAAGTGGTTTCCAGGGTTGTAGTTTCTATAGAAGTTGTACCCATGGTTCTAGTTTCTACAAAAGTTGGGGCAAGGGTAGTAATTTCTGCAGAAGTGGTGCCAAGGGTAGTGGTTTCTGCAGAAGTGGGTGCTGCAGAAGTGGTTTCCAGGGTTGTAGATTCTATAGAAGTAGAGCCAAGGGTAGTCGTCACTGCATTAGTTTTGCCCAGGGTAGTAGTTTCTACAGAAGGGGTTTCAAGGGCAGTAGTTTCTACAAAAGTGATGCCAAGGGTAGTAGTTTCTATAGAAGGCGTCTCAAGGGCAGCAATTTCTGCAGAAGTGGGTCCTGCAAAAGTGGTTTCCAGGGTAGTATTTTCTACAAAAGGTGTGCCAAGGGTAGTAGTTTCAGCAGAAGTTTTGTCCAGGCTAACAGTTTCTACGGAAGTGGTCCCAAGGGTAGTTGTTTCTGCAGAAGTGGTGCCAAGGATAGTAGTTTCTGTAAAAGTGAGTCCTGCAGAAGTGGTGCCAAGAGTTGTAGATTCTACAGAAGGTGTGCCAAGGGTAGTAGTTTCTGAAGAAGTTTTGTCCAGGCTAGTAGTTTCTACAGAAGTGGTGCCAAGGGTAGCAGATTCTGCAGAAGTTGTGCCCAGAGATGTAGGTTTAACAGTAGTAGAGCCAAGGGTACTAGTTTCTGCAAAAGTTGTGCCCATGGTACTAGTTTCTGCAGAAGTAGGTCCTGCAGAAGTATTTCCAAGGGTACTAGTTTCTGCAGAAGTTGTCCCCGGGGTAGTAATTTCTACAAAAGTGGTGCCAATGGTAATAGTTTCTGCAGAAGTGGTTTCAGGGGTAGTAGTTCCTACAAAAGTGATGCCAAGGGTAGTAGTTTCTATTGAAGGCGTCTCAAGGGCAGCAATTTCTGCAGAAGTGGGTCCTGCAAAAGTGGTTTCCAGGGTAGTATTTTCTACAAAAGGTGTGCCAAGGGTAGTAGTTTCTGAAGAAGTTTTGTCCAGGCTAGTACTTTCTACAGAAGTGGTGCCAAGGGTAGCAGATTCTGCAGAAGTGGTTTCAGGGGCAGTAGTTTCGACAGAAGTTGTGCCCATGGTACTAGTTTCTGCAGAAGTGGTTTCAGGGGCAGTAGTTTCTACAAAAGGTGTGCCAAGGGTACTAGTTTCTTCAAAAGTGGTTTCCAGGGTAGTATTTTCTACAAAAGGTGTGCCAAGGGTAGTTGTTTCTGCAGAAGTGGTGCCCAGAGTTGCAGATTCTACAGAAGTGGTGCCAAGGATAGTAGTTTCTATAGTAGTGGGTTCTGCAGAAGTGGTGTCCAGAGTTGTAGATTCTACAGAAGTGGTGCCAAGGGTAGTTGTTTCTGCAGAAGTGGTGCCCAGAGTTGCAGATTCTACAGAAGTGGTGCCAAGGATAGTAGTTTCTGTAAAAGTGGGTCCTGCAGAAGTGGTGTCCAGAGTTGTAGATTCTACAGAAGTGGTGCCAAGGGTAGTAGTTTCTGCAGAAGTGGGTCCTGCATATGAGGTTTCCAGGATAGCAGTTTCTACAGAAGTGGTGGAAAGGGTAGTGGTTTCTGCAGAAGTGGGTCCTGCATATGTGGTTTCCAGGATAGTAGTTTCTACAGAAGTTGTGCCAAGGGCAGTACTTTCAGCAGAAATGGGTCCTGCATATGTGGTTTCCAGGACAGTATTTTCTACAGAAGTGGTATCCAGAGTGGTATATTCAACAGAAGTGGCAAAAAGCATAGTTTTTTCTACAGAAGTGGTGCCAAGGTTAGTAGTTTCTACAGAAGTGAGTGCTGCAGAACTGCTTTCTAGGGTAGAAGATTCTGCAGAAGTGGTGCCAAGGGTACTAGTCTCTGCAGAAGTGGGTCCTGCAGAAGTGGTTTCCCGGGTAGTATTTTCTACAGAACTAGCGCTAAGGGTAGAAGATTCTGCAGAGGTGGTTTCCAGGATAGTAGTTTCTACAGAAGTGGTTCCAGAGATAATAGTTTCTGTAAAAGTTGTGCCCAGGGTACTAGTTTCTACAGAAGTAGTGCCAAGGGCAGTAGTTTCTGCAGAAGTGGGTGCTGTAGATGTGGTTTCCAGGGATGTAGTTTCTATGGAAGTGGTGCCAAGGGTTGTAGTTTCTGCCGAAGTGGGTACTGCAGAAGTGGTTTCCAGGGTAAAAGTTTCTTCAAAATTGGTGCCAAGGGTACTAGTCTCTGCAGAAGTGGGTCCTGCAGAAGTGGTTTCCCGGGTAGTATTTTCTACAGAACTAGCGCTAAGGGTAGAAGATTCTGCAGAGGTGGTTTCCAGGATAGTAGTTTCTACAGAAGTGGTTCCAGAGATAATAGTTTCTGTAAAAGTTGTGCCCAGGGTACTAGTTTCTACAGAAGTAGTGCCAAGGGCAGTAGTTTCTGCAGAAGTGGGTGCTGTAGATGTGGTTTCCAGGGATGTAGTTTCTATGGAAGTGGTGCCAAGGGTTGTAGTTTCTGCCGAAGTGGGTACTGCAGAAGTGGTTTCCAGGGTAAAAGTTTCTTCAAAATTGGTGCCAAGGGTACTAGTCTCTGCAGAAGTGGGTCCTGCAGAAGTGGTTTCCCGGGTAGTATTTTCTACAGAACTAGCGCTAAGGGTAGAAGATTCTGCAGAGGTGGTTTCCAGGATAGTAGTTTCTACAGAAGTGGTTCCAGAGATAATAGTTTCTGTAAAAGTTGTGCCCAGGGTACTAGTTTCTACAGAAGTAGTGCCAAGGGCAGTAGTTTCTGCAGAAGTGGGTGCTGTAGATGTGGTTTCCAGGGATGTAGTTTCTATGGAAGTGGTGCCAAGGGTTGTAGTTTCTGCCGAAGTGGGTACTGCAGAAGTGGTTTCCAGGGTAAAAGTTTCTTCAAAATTGGTGCCAAGGGTACTAGTCTCTGCAGAAGTGGGTCCTGCAGAAGTGGTTTCCCGGGTAGTATTTTCTACAGAACTAGCGCTAAGGGTAGAAGATTCTGCAGAGGTGGTTTCCAGGATAGTAGTTTCTACAGAAGTGGTTCCAGAGATAATAGTTTCTGTAAAAGTTGTCAAAAGTGGTTTCCAGGGTAGTATTTTCTACAAAAGGTGTGCCAAGGGTAGTAGTTTCTGAAGAAGTTTTGTCCAGGCTAGTACTTTCTACAGAAGTGGTGCCAAGGGTAGTTGTTTCTGCAGAAGTGGTGCCCAGAGTTGCAGATTCTACAGAAGTGGTGCCAAGGATAGTAGTTTCTGTAAAAGTGGGTCCTGCAGAAGTGGTGTCCAGAGTTGTAGATTCTACAGAAGTGGTGCCAAGGATAGTAGTTTCTGTAAAAGTGGGTCCTGCAGAAGTGGTGTCCAGAGTTGTAGATTCTACAGAAGTGGTGCCACGGGTAGTAGTTTCTGCAGAAGTGGGTCCTGCATATGAGGTTTCCAGGATAGCAGTTTCTACAGAAGTGGTGGAAAGGGTAGTGGTTTCTGCAGAAGTGGGTCCTGCATATGTGGTTTCCAGGATAGTAGTTTCTACAGAAGTTGTGCCAAGGGCAGTACTTTCAGCAGAAATGGGTCCTGCATATGTGGTTTCCAGGACAGTATTTTCTACAGAAGTGGTATCCAGAGTGGTATATTCAACAGAAGTGGCAAAAAGCATAGTTTTTTCTACAGAAGTGGTGCCAAGGTTAGTAGTTTCTACAGAAGTGAGTGCTGCAGAACTGCTTTCTAGGGTAGAAGATTCTGCAGAAGTGGTGCCAAGGGTACTAGTCTCTGCAGAAGTGGGTCCTGCAGAAGTGGTTTCCCGGGTAGTATTTTCTACAGAACTAGCGCTAAGGGTAGAAGATTCTGCAGAGGTGGTTTCCAGGATAGTAGTTTCTACAGAAGTGGTGTCCAGGGTAGTAGTCTCTGCAGAAGTGGTTCCAGAGATAATAGTTTCTGTAAAAGTTGTGCCCAGGGTACTAGTTTCTACAGAAGTAGTGCCAAGGGCAGTAGTTTCTGCAGAAGTGGGTGCTGTAGATGTGGTTTCCAGGGATGTAGTTTCTATGGAAGTGGTGCCAAGGGTTGTAGTTTCTGCCGAAGTGGGTACTGCAGAAGTGGTTTCCAGGGTAAAAGTTTCTTCAAAATTGGTGCCAAGGGTACTAGTCTCTGCAGAAGTGGTTCCAGAGATAATAGTTTCTGTAAAAGTTGTGCCCAGGGTACTAGTTTCTACAGAAGTAGTGCCAAGGGCAGTAGTTTCTGCAGAAGTGGGTACTGCAGAAGTGGTTTCCAGGGTAAAAGTTTCTTCAAAATTGGTGCCAAGGGTACTAGATTCTGCATTAGTGGTGCCCAGAATGGTAGATTCAACCGCAGTGGTGCCAGAGGTACTAGATTCTGCAGAAGTGTTTTCCAGGGAAATAGATTCTATCGAAGTAGTGCCAATGGTAGTAGTTTCTGCAGAAGTTGTGCCCATGGTACTAGTTTCTGCAGAAGTGGGTCCAGCAGAAGTGGTTTGCAGAGTAGTAGTTTCTACAGAAGTGGTTCCTAGTGTAGTACTTTCTACAGAAGAGGTGTCAAGGGTAGTAGTTTCTACAGAAGTGGTGCCAAGGGTAGCAGATTCTGCAGAAGTGGTGCCAAGAGATTTAGGTTTAACAGAAGTAGAGCCAAGGGTAGTAGTTTCTGCAGAATTGGTTTCCAGGGTTGTAGTTTCTATAGAAGTTGTACCCATGGTACTAGTTTCTACAAAAGTTGGGGCCAGGGTAGTAATTTCTACAAAAGTGGTGCCAATGGTAATAGTTTCTGCAGAAGGGGTTTCAGGGGCAGTAGTTTCTACAGAAGGTGTGCTAAGTGTACTAGTTTCTGCAGAAGTGGTTTCAGGGGTAGTAGTTCCTACAAAAGTGATGCCAAGGGTAGTAGTTTCTATAGAAGGCGTCTCAAAGGCACCAATTTCTGCAGAAGTGGGTCCTGCAAAAGTGGTTTCCAGGGTTGTATTTTCTACAAAAGGTGTGCCAAGGGTAGTAGTTTCAGCAGAAGTTTTGTCCAGGCTAATAGTTTCTACAGAAGTGGTGCCCAGAGTTGTAGGTTTAACAGACATAGAGCCAAGGGTACTAGTTTCTGCAAAAGTTGTGCCCATGGTACTCGTTTCTGCAGAAGTAGGTCCTGCAGAAGTGGTTCCAAGGGTACAAGTTTCTGCAGAAGTTGTCCCCAGGGTAGTAATTTCTACAAAAGTGGTGCCAAGGGTACTAGTTTCTACAAAAGTGGTTTCCAGGGTAGTATTTTCTACAAAAGGTGTGCCAAGGGTAGTTATTTCTGCAGAAGTGGTGCCCAGAGTTGTAGATTCTACAGAACTGGTGTCAAGTGTAGTTGTTTCTACAGAAGTGGTGCCCAGAGTTGTAGATTCTACAGAAGTGGTGCCAAGGATAGTAGTTTCTAAGGAAGTGGGTCTTGCAGAAGTGGTTTCCAGGATAGCAGTTTCTACAGAAGTGGTGGCAAGGGTAGTAGTTTCTGCAGAAGTGGGTCCTGCATATGAGGTTTCCAGGATAGCAGTTTCTACAGAAGTGGTGGCAAGGGTAGAAGATTCTGCAGTAGTGGTGGTAAGGGTAGAAGATTCTGCAGAAGTGGTGGCAAGGGTAGTAGTCTCTGCAGAAGTGGTGCCAGGGGTACTAGTTTCTGTAAAAGTTGTGCCCAGGGTACTAGTTTCTACAGAAGTTGTGCCCAGGGTAGTAGATTCTGCAGAAGTGGTTACTGCAGATGTGGTTTCCAGGATAGAAGTTTCTACGAAAGTGGTGCCAAGGGTAGTAGTGGTTTCCAGGGTAAAAGTTTCTTCAAAATTGGTGCCAAGGGTACTAGATTCTGCATTAGTGGTGCCCAGAATGGTAGATTCAACCGCAGTGGTGCCAGAGGTACTAGATTCTGCAGAAGTGTTTCAAGGGTAGTAGTTTCTGCAGAAGTGGGTCCTGCATATGAGGTTTCCAGGATAGCAGTTTCTACAGAAGTGGTGGCAAGGGTAGAAGATTCTGCAGTAGTGGTGGTAAGGGTAGAAGATTCTGCAGAAGTGGTGGCAAGGGTAGTAGTCTCTGCAGAAGTGGTGCCCAGAGTGGTAGATTCAACAGAAGTTGTGCAAGAGGTACTTGTTTCTGCAGAAGTGGTGTCCAGGGTACTAGTTTCTATAAAAGTTGTGGCAAGGGTAGTAGTTTCTACAGAAGTGGTGCCAAAGATACTAGTTTCTACAGAAGTGGTGCCAAGGGTAGTAGTTTCTACAGAAGTGGTGCCAAAGATACTAGTTTCTACAGAAGTGGTGCCAAGGGTAGTAGTTTCTGCAGAAATGGGTCCTGCAGAAGTAGTTTCCAGTGTAGAACTTTCTACAGAAGTGGTGCCAAGGGTAGTAGTTTCTGCATAAGTGTGTCCTGTAGAAGTGGTTTGCAGAGTAGTACTTTCTGCAGAAGTTGAGCCCAGGGTAGTAGTTTCTGTAGAAGTGGGTCCAGCAGAAGTGGTTTCCAGAGAAGAAGTTTCTACAAAAGTGGTGCCATGTGTAGTAGTTTCTACAGAAGTGGTTTCCAGGGTTGTAGTTTCTGTAGAAGTGTGTCCTGTAGAAGTGGTTTGCAGAGTAGTACTTTCTGCAGAAGTTGAGCCCAGGGTAGTAGTTTCTGTAGAAGTGGGTCCAGCAGAAGTGGTTTCCAGAGAAGAAGTTTCTACAAAAGTGGTGCCATGTGTAGTAGTTTCTACAGAAGTGGTTTCCAGGGTTGTAGTTTCTGTAGAAGTGTGTCCTGTAGAAGTGGTTTGCAGAGTAGTACTTTCTGCAGAAGTAGTGCCAACGGTAGTAGTTTCTGCAGAAGTGGGTCTTGCATATGTGGTTTCCAGGATAGTAGTTTCTGCAGAAGTGGGTCCTGTATATGTGGTTTCCAGGATAGTAGTCTCTACAGAAGTGCTTTCCAGGGTAGTAGTCTCTACAGATGTGCTTCCCAGGGTAGTAGTCTCTACAGAAGTGCTTCCCAGGGTAGTAGTTTCTGCAGAACTAGTGAGTGCTGCAGAACTGCTTTCTAGGGTAGCGGTTTCTGCAGAAGTGGTTCCAAGGGAACTAGTTTCCAGTGTAGCATTTTCTGCAGAGCTGGTTCCCAGGGTAGTCGTCTCTGCAGAACTGGTGCCCAGGGTAGTCGTCTCTGCAGAACTGGTGCCCAGGGTAGTCGTCTCTGCAGAACTGGTGCCCAGGGTAGTCGTCTCTGCAGAACTGGTGCCCAGGGTAGTCGTCTCTGCAGAACTGGTGCCCAGGGTAGTCGTCTCTGCAGAACTGGTGCCCAGGGTAGTCGTCTCTGCAGAACTGGTGCCCAGGGTAGTCGTCTCTGCAGAACTGGTGCCCAGGGTAGTCGTCTCTGCAGAAGTAGAGCCAAGGTTAGTCGTCTCTGCAGAAGTGGTGCCCAGAGTGGTAGATTCTACAGAAGTGAAGCCAAGAGTAGTATTTTCTGCAGAAGTGGGTGCTGTAGATGTGGTTTCCAGGGTTGTAGTCTCTACAGAAGTGGTGCCAAGGGTAGTGGTTTCCACAGAAGGGGTGCCAAGGGTAGTAGCTTCTGGAGAAGAGGGTCCTGCAGATGTGGTTTCCAGGGCAATGGTTTCTACAGAAGGGGTGCCAAGGGTACTAGTTTCTGCAGAAGCTGCACCCAGGGTAGTAGTTTCTGGAGAAGTGGGTGCTGCAGCAGTGGTTTCAATAGTAGAAGTTTCTGTAAAAGTGTTTTCCAAAGTAGCAATTTCTACAGAAGTGGAACTAAGGGTACTAGTTTCTACAGAAATGGTGCCAAGGGTACTAGTTTCTACAGAAGTGGTGCCAAGGGTAGTAGTTTCTACAGAAGTAGTGCCAAGGGTAGTAGTTTCTGCAGAAGTGGGTTCTGCAGAAGTAGTTCCCAGTGTAGAACTTTCTACAGAAGGTGTGCCAAAGGTACTAGTTTCTGCAGAAGTGGTTTCAAGAGTAGTAGTTCCAAGAGTATTAGTTCCTACAAAAGTGATGACAAGGGTAGTAGTTTCTGCAGAAGTTTTGCCCAGGGTAGTAGTTTCTACAGAAGTGGGTCCTGCAAAAGTGGTTTCAAGTGTCGTTGTTTCTTCAGAAGTGGTGCCGAAGGTACTAGTTTCAGCAGAAATGGTGCCAAGGGTAGTGGTTTCAGCAGAAGTGGTTTCCAGGGTAGTGGTTTCAACAGAAGTAGAGCCAAGGGTAGTCGTCTCTGCAGAAGTGGTGCCAAGGGTAGTGGTTTCTTCAGAAGTGGTTTCTAAGATAGCAGATTCTGCAGAAGTGGTGCCAAGGGTAGTAGTTTCTGCAGAAGTGGGTGCTGCAGAAGTGGTTTTCAGGGTTGTAGTTTCTATAGAAGTAGAGCCAACAGTAGTAGTTTCTGCAGAGGAAGGTCCTGTAGAAGTGGTTCCAAGGGTACTAGTTTCTGCAGAAGTGGTTTCAGAAGCAGTACTTTCTACAGAAGTGGGTCTTGCAGAAGTGGTTTCCAGGGTAATGGTTTCTACAGAAGGGGGCTCAAGGGTAGTAGCTTCTGTAGAAGTGGGTGATGCAGCAGTGGTTTCAAGAGTAGTAGTTTCTGCAAAAGTGTTTTCAGGAGCAGTAGTTTCTACAGAAGTTGTGCCAAGGGTACTAGTTTCTGCAGAAGTGGTGCCCACAGTACTAGTTTCTACAGAAGTGGTGCCAAGGGAAGTAGTTTCTGCAGAAGTGGGTCCTGCAAAAGTGGTTTCCAGGGTAGAAGTTTCTACAAAAGTGGTGCCAAGGGTACTAGTTTCTGCAGAAGTGGTGCCAAGGAAAGTAGTTTCTGCAGAAGTGGGTCCTGCAAAAGTGGTTTCCAGGGTAGTAGTTTCTACAGAAGGGGCGCCAAGGGTAGTAGTTTCTGCAGAAATGGTTTCCAGGGTAGTAGTTTCTACAGAAGTGGTTTCAGGAGCAGTAGTTTCTATAGAAGGTGTGCCAAGCATAGTAGCTTCTGTAGAAGTGGGTGCTGCAGCAGTGGTTTCAAGGTTAGTAGTTTCTGCAGAAGTTGTGCCCAGGGCAGTAGTTTCTGTAGAAGTGGGTCCTGCAGAAGTATTTTCCAGGGTAGTGGTTTCTACAGAAGTGGGTCCTGCAGATGTGGTTTCCAAGGTAGTGGTTTCTACAAAAGTGGTGCCAAGGGTATTGGTTTCCACAGAAGTGGTTCCAAGGGGAGTAGTTTCTGCAAATGTGGGTCCTGCAGAAGTGGTTTCTAGTGTAGTAGTTTCTACAGAAGTCATTATAAAGGTACTAGTTTCTGTAGAAACTGTGCCCAGGGTAGTAGTTTCTACAGATGTGGTGCCAAGGGTAGTGGGTCCTGCAGATGTGGTTTTCAGGGTAGTGGTTTCTGCAAAAGTGGGTCCTGCAGATGTGGTTTTCAGGGTAGTGGTTTCTGCAGAAGTGGGTCCTGCAGATGTGCTTTTCAGGGTAGTGGTTTCTGCAGAAGTGGTTCCAAGTGCACTAGTTTTGGCAAATGTTATGTCCATGGAACTAGTTTCTACAGAAGTTGTTCCTAGTGTAGTACTTTCTACAGAAGAGGTGTCAAGGGTAGTAGTTTCTGCAGAAGTTGTGCCCAGGGCAGTAGTTTCTGCAAAAGTGGGTCCTGTAGAAGTGGGGCCCAGAGTGGTAGATTCTACAGAAGTGGTGCCAAATGTACTAGCTTCTGCAGAAGTTGTGCCCAGTGTAGTACTTTCTACAGAGGAGATTCCAAGGGTAGTAGTTTCCACAGATGTCATGCCAAGAGTACTAGTTTCTACAGAAGTGGTGCCCAGGGTACTAGGTTCTACAGAAGAGGTGCCAAAGGTACTAGTTTCTACAGAAGTTGTGCCCAGGGTAGTAGTTTCTGCAGAAGTGGTGTTAAGTGTACTAGTTTTGGCAGAAGTTATGTCCAGGGAACTAGTTTCTACAGATGTGGTGCCAAAGGTACTAGTTTCTGCAGAAGTTGTGCCTAGGGTAGTACTTTCTACAGAAGTGGTGCCAAGGGTAGTAGCTTCTATAGAAGAGGTTCCAATTGTACTAGTTTCTGCAGAAGTTGTGCCCGGGGTAGTAGTTTCTGCAGAAGTGGGTCCTGTAGATGTGGTTTTCAGGATAGTGGTTTCTGCAGAAGTGGGTCCTGCAGATGTGGTTTTCAGGGTAGTGGTTTCTGCAGAAGTGGGTCCTGCAGATGTGGTGTCCAGGGAACTAGTTTCTACAGATGTGCTGCCAAAGGTACTAGTTTCTGCAGAAGTGGTTCCTAGTTTAGTACTTTCTACAGAAGAGGTGTCAAGGGAAGTAGTTTCTGCAGAAGTGGGTCCTGTAGAAGTGGGGCCCAGAGTGGTAGATTCTACAGAAGTGGTGCCAAATGTACTAGCTTCTGCAGAATCTGTGCCCAGGATAGTACTTTCTACAGAAGAGATTCCAAGGGTAGTAGTTTCCACAGATGTCATGCCAAGGGTACTAGTTTCTACAGAGGTAATGCCCAGGGTACTAGTTTCTACAGAAGAGATTCCAAGGGTAGTAGTTTCCACAGATGTCATGCCAAGGGTACTAGTTTCTACAGAGGTAATGCCCAGGGTACTAGTTTCTACAGAAGAGGTGCCAAGGGTAGTAGTTTCCACAGATGTTGTGCCAAGGGTACTATTTTCTACAGAAGTGGTGCCCAGGGTAGTAGTTTCTACAAAGAAAGTGCCAAGGGTACTAGTTTCTGCAGAAGTTGTGCCCAGGGTAGTAGTTACTACAGAAGTGGTGCCTACGGTACTAGTTTCTACAGAAGAGGTTCCAAGGGTAGTAGTTTCTGCAGAAGTGGTGCCAAGGGTACTAGTTTTGGCAGAGGTTATGTCCAGGGAACTAGTTTCTACAGATGTTGTGCCAAAGGTACTAGCTTCTGCAGAAGTGGTTCTCAGGGTAGTGCTTTCTACAGAAGTAGTTCCAAGTGTAGTAGTTTCTGCAGAATATGTGCCCAGGGTAGTAGGTTCTGTAGAAGTGGTTCCAAGTACACTAGTTTTGGCAGAGGTTATGTCCACAGAACTGGTTTCTACAGATGTGGTGCCAAAGGTACTAGCTTCTGCAGAAGTGGTTCCCAGGGTAGTACTTTCTACAGAAGAGGTGTCAAGGGTAGTAGTTTCTGCAGAAGTTGTGCCCGGGGTAGTAGTTTCTGTAGAAGTGGGTCCTGCAGAAGTGGTTTCCAGGGTAGTAGTTTCCACATACATCGTGCCAAGGGTACTAGTTTCTGCCAAAGTGGTTCCAAGGGTACTAGTTTCTGCAGAAGTGGTTCCAGGGGTACTAGTTTCTGCAGAAGTTATGCCCAGGGTAGTAGTTTCTGCATATGTGGTGCCAAGGTTACTAGTTTCTGCAGAAGTGGTGCCCAGAGTTGTAGATTCTAGAGAAGTACCAATGGTATTAGCTTTTGCAGAAGTGGGTGATGCAGAAGTGGTTTCCAGGGCAGTAGTTTCTACAGAATTGGTGCCAAATGTACTAGCTTCTGCAGAAGTTGTGCCCAGGGTAGTAGTTTCTACAGAAGAGATTCCAAGGGTAGTAGGTTCCACAGAAGTGGTGCCCAGGGTACTAGTTTCTACAGAAGAGGTGCCAAGGGTAGTAGTTTCTACAGAAGTGGTGCCCAGGGTACTAGTTTCTACAGAGGTAATGCCCAGGGTACTAGTTTCTACAGAGAAAGTGCCAAGGGTAGTAGTTTCTGCAGAAGTGGTTCCAAGGGTAGTAGTTACTACAGAAGTGGTGCCAAGGGTACTAGTTTCTGCAGAAGTAGTGCCCAGGGTAGTAGTTTCTACAGTAGAGGTTCCCATTGCACTAGTTTCTGCAGAAGTTGTGCCCAGGGTAGTAGTTTCTGCAGAAGTTGTTCCTAGTGTAGTACTTCCTACAGAAGAGGTGCCAAGGGTACCAGTTTTGGCAGAGGTTATGTCCAGGGAACTAGTTTCTGCAGAAGTGGTTCCTAGTGTAGTACTTTCTACAGAAGAGGTGTCAAGGGAAGTAGTTTCTGCAGAAGTTGTGCCCAGCGTAGTAGTTACCACAGAAGTGGTGCCTAGGGTACTAGTTTCTACAGAAGAGGTTCCAAGGGTAGTAATTTCTGCAGAAGTAGTGCCAAGGGTACTAGTTTTGGCAGAGGTTATGTCCAGGGAACTAGTTTCTGCAGAAGTGGTTCCTAGTGTAGTACTTTCTGCAGAAGAGGTGTCAAGGGTACTAGTTCCTGCAGAAGTTGTGCCCAGGGTAGTAGTTACTACAGAAGTGGTGCCTAGGGTACTAGTTTCTACAGAAGAGGTTCCAAGGGTAGTAATTTCTGCAGAAGTAGTGCCAAGGGTACTAGTTTTGGCAGAGGTTATGTCCAGGGAACTAGTTTCTGCAGAAGTGGTTCCTAGTGTAGTACTTTCTGCAGAAGAGGTGTCAAGGGAAGTAGTTTCTGCAGAAGTGGTTCCTAGTGTAGTACTTTCTGCAGAAGAGGTGTCAAGGGAAGTAGTTTCTGCAGAAGTGGGTCCTGTAGCAGTGGGTTCCAGAGTGGTAGATTCTACCGAAGTGGTGCCAAATGTACTAGCTTCTGCAGAAGTGGGTCCTGTAGCAGTAGGTCCCAGAGTAGTAGATTCTACCGAAGTGGTGCCAAATGTACTAGCTTCTGCAGAAGTGGGTCCTGTAGCAGTAGGTCCCAGAGTAGTAGATTCTACCGAAGTGGTGCCAAATGTACTAGCTTCTGCAGAAGTGGTTCCCAGGGTAGTGCTTTCTACAGAAGAAGTTCCAAGTGTAGTAGTTTCTGCAGAATATGTGCCCAGGGTAGTAGGTTCTGTAGAAGTGGTTCCAAGTACACTAGTTTTGGCAGAGGTTATGTCCACGGAACTGGTTTCTACAGATGTGGTGCCAAAGGTACTAGCTTCTGCAGAAGTGGTTCCCAGGGTAGTACTTTCTGCAGAAGTGGTGCCAAGGGTAGTAGTTTCTGCAGAAGTTGTGCCCAGGGTCGTAGTTTCTACAGAAGTGGTGCCAAGGGTACTAGTTTTGGCAGAGGTTATGTTCAGGGAACTAGTTTCTTCAGAAGTGGTTCCTACTGTAGTACTTTCTACAGAAGAGGTGTCAAGGGAAGTAGTTTCTGCAGAAGTGGGGCCCAGAGTTGTAGATTCTACAGAAGTGGTGCCAAATGTACTAGCTTCTGTAGAAGTGGTTCCCAGGGTAGTGCTTTCTACAGAAGAGGTTCCAAGGGTAGTAGTTTCTGCAGATGTTGTGCCCAGGGTAGTAGTTTCTGTAGAAGTGGTTCCAAGTGCACTAGTTTTGGCAGAGGTTATGTCCAGGGAACTAGTTTCTACAGATGTGGTGCCAAAGGTACTAGTTTCTGCAGAAGTTGTGCCCAGGGTAGTAGTTTCTACAGAAGTGGTGCCTATGGTACTAGTTTTGGCAGAGGTTATGTCCAGGGAACTAGTTCCTACAGATGTGGTGCCAAAGGTGCTAGTTTCTGCAGAAGAGGTGTCAAGGGTAGTAGTTTCTGCAGAAGTTGTGCCCGGGGTAGTAGTTTCTGCAGAAGTGGGTCCTGTAGCAGTGGGTCCCAGAGTGGTAGATTCTACAGAAGTGGTGCCAAATGTACTAGCTTCTGCAGAAGTTGTTCCCAGGGTAGTACTTTCTACAGAAGAGGTGTCAAGGGTAGTAGTTTCTGCAGAAGCTGTGCCCGGGGTAGTAGTTTCTGTAGAAGTGGGTCCTGCAGAAGTGGTTTCCAGGGTAGTAGTTTCCACATACATCGTGCCAAGGGTACTAGTTTCTGCCAAAGTGGTTTCCAGTGTAGTAGTTTCCACAGAAGCGGTGCCAAGTGTACTAGTTTCCGCGGAAGTTGTGCCCACGGTAGTACTTTCTACAGAAGAGGTGTCAAGGGTAGTAGTTTCTACAGATGTCGTGCCAAGGGTACTAGTTTCTACAGAGAAAGTGCCAAGGGTAGTAGTTTCTGCAGAAGTGGTTCCAAGGGTACTAGTTTTTACAGAAGCGGTGCCAAGGGCAGTAGTTTCTACAGAGGTAATGCCCAGGATACTAGTTTCTACAGAGGTAATGCCCAGGGTACTAGTTTCTACAGAGAAAGTGCCAAGGGTAGTAGTTTCTGCGGAAGTTGTGCCCACGGTAGTACTTTCTACAGAAGAGGTGTCAAGGGTAGTAGTTTCTACAGATGTCGTGCCAAGGGTACTAGTTTCTACAGAGAAAGTGCCAAGGGTAGTAGTTTCAGCAGAAGTGGTTCCAAGGGTACTAGTTTCTGCAGAAGTGGTGCCAAGGGTACTAGTTTCT